TATTTGTGAAACTTTTATTCAAATATCCGATCAAAGTTGAAAGCAGGAATAACTTATTAGACTGTAGTGGAAGAAAAGTTCTGCATGTGGTTTGACCTGCACGCTAAAGACAATATTGCTTGAAGTATATTTCCGTCGTCCATTAGGTTTTATTTAATTACACAAAATTATATATATATATATATACCTATCTCGATGCGATATTAGAAAAGTTTCCCCAACAAGACTTTTGGTGTGGTCTAATGTAGGGGATCCGTCCGGATTGTGGCTCAACCGCTAACTGCAAACACACACACACACACACACACACACACACACTTATCGTCTTCGAAGTTAATATAATATCCCGACCAAAGTATACCTTTGTAAGCATCGAGATCGGACGCTTTGAGACTTGACGATTATAAAATATGCGTACGCGAATTTTCTTTTTACCCTTGATATCTAGTGCTAGCTAAAAGGAATCTACTAACAGACGAGCAATGGTAGTATTGAACGAGGAAAAAAATAACCAAATTACGCGTCATGTGAATTCACGTCGTATTTTTTCCCCATCTAAACGGGTCCACTTTTCGTTACACGTGTGTCTATATACACAGTGTTTGTAATGAAAATTTTCTTCGCGGGTAACGGTTTTCATCGAGAAGCAGCGTGAGGAGTGAAGTCCGATGCAGAGGTCGTGGTCGGGGTTGTACAAAATGGGCAAATCCAGCATGTGTAGTATGTGTGTGTGTGTGTGTGTGTGTATGTAGGTGGTACGTCCGGACAGGATCACCGGCGTAATATTTATAGGGATCATGGATTACCTATTCACTCCCCACCTTATCCCCATAGTGGCTATATGTTTTTCGTTTCAATAGGTCTTAGGACCCTTAGAAAACGCTATATACGTGAAGGTTCGATGGCCAATTGCGTGGAAACTTGACGTAAGTGTGATAAAAATAAATAAATAAATAAATAAAAAAACAGCACGCATTCCAGATAATCGCTGTGTGTGGAGTATATTATACCTGGTAATAAGTTTATTTATACATTGCGGGTGTATTACATTCAATATACCTACATTCCAACGGCCCACTGGACATAAGTGTTTATGTTTGCACGGATATCGCACCCCGTAACAGACTTACATCACGTTGTTTCAGAACCTGTCGGTTTTGCAGTCGTCAAGAGTGAAAATCGCCAGACACGGAAACTTTTCGCCTCACTGTTTTTGACCACACTGCTGGAGAATTCACAATTGCCGCAACTGCCTCTTACGCACAACGCGATATACAAATGGTTCAGGAATATGTTACCGTAGACTAAACGAACTCGGTCCGACACTCACGCATATTACATTTAATTTCGTAAAACGTCCGACTTCCGAGTAGAAGCATAACCGAGGACGATTACTGCTCGACTAAGTGTTACTTGTCACAATCCGCTCTATTCATTATGTTCACAGAAGTCTGAACATTTGTCTCCTCTGGCAAGCAAAACTACTTCATCCTGCACCTCGTCTACAATAGACGGCTATTCGATAGCCTCCTGTTTATGAAACTGGACATACGCGATGCCAATCGTCGCAAAAAGTATTCGTATCCTCACCAGTGTGCTTTTTGCACTTCTCCGTATTGTTATTTTAGTGCCGAACGGTGACTGAAATATACAGGATTCGATTTTGCGAGTTTCGGCTCACACATAGTTGGCTGAACTATGCATATTTTCACACCGTTCTCTGAATGGTGAATGACGTAGGCATTTGTGTAATATTGTATAACTATAAACAATTTTACTATTTTGCAGTTAGACTAACTTATATTGTTCAAAATAAAGTTAACTAAATCTAGAGGCGTATCCACAGGAGGGAAGGAGTCCTAGATCTCGACCTAATCCCTACCCGCCAACGACCAAAAATTGAATCAAAATGCATAACGATTTATAGTATTAAATGATAATATTTATATTTACAAGGTTTCAGTTTATAAAATATTAAGAACTTGGATTTTAAAGCCAAAAACGACTTCTTACGTAGCCATAGAAAAATAAAATATAAATATACTCATATTATGTGTTATTTTATTATAAATCAATGTTAAATTATAATATTAAGAAATGACTTATTTTTTAGAAAAATTTAAAATCTCCCTCAGAAAAAAATGTAAAACACTTAATTTATAACATTATTGACGAAAGTTCAACAATCAAGAAGATCATTTTATATTTAAAATCTACTAGTGCAGGCAGATATTATCAATATGAAGAAGCGTTCGGTGGCTCCACCTTTCCAAATCCGTTTGAGTTTAAAAACTGTTTTTCTAATTTACATGAAAATATAACCTTAGGTACCACTTACTCGTACAAGTGAATTAAAAATGAGAATTTCAACAATGTATTAAAATATTATATTTGCTGTACAAGTTTAATACAGGTAAAAATAAAATTATTATTAATTCTAATTTAATTTTGTGTTCGTTTAATTCAAAGCTTTCAACAATTTTCTGAAAACCGTTATTATAATTTGGTTTTATAATCAAAATATTGACCTATATAGTTCTCTTATAATAGAATCCTGTATACTACTTAAAACAATTTTACAATTATAAACGCCACTCAGCAATACAACAAATACACAGAATAGCAGTTGCCATAACCTATTCATTAGAAGAAAAAAAATCGTACACCTCAGCGATATTACTAAATGTCGCACAGGCATTTGATAAAGTTTGGAAACCCGGCCTACTGTATAAACTCATATATTCCTACTTAATATCTCTTTATTAAAGCATAAATAAGCCAACGTTCTATTGGTGTAAGAGTAAGAACAGAACTGTCCATAATCTTTCAAAAATAGCCGGTGTCCCACAAGGCGCAGTTTCATCTCCAACATTATTTAATTTATTCTATGCAGACCAATCCACGCACCCCAAAATCTACATAGCCAATACATACGTCGACAACAAAGCAATATACATTACTCATATTGATCCAGACACTGCCTCAAAATCTTCAAAATTTTCACAATCTTCAATCTTCAAAACCATCTTAACTTACTATCCATTTGGTACTCCCACTGGCGGGTTTAAGTTAATGAAAAAAAGTCAATCCATGTAGCATGTGTTCCTTGCCAGAGCCAACTCCCCCCAAATGCACTTACTAGACCATACCTAAGACCCATACCTAAATCTGCTTCTGTTAAATATCTAGGCCAAAACCTGAGCAAACTAATGTGTTGGACAAAGCATATTAACGAAATAAAAATAAAACTCAACAGACTACCATATCCACTCCGATCTATTATGGGTGAATAATCAAAAATGCATTTAAAAAAAAAAAAAACATAGTTACAGTATCCTACTCAAAGCCATATGGGTATATGAATTACAATTATGGGGCTAAGCTTAAAAATCGAGTACCCAAAATATTCAAATATTCCAAAATGAAATAATACGACTAATAATCAACGCCTCTTCGTATTTCTCAAATCATGCTCTACACATAGACCTCCTAATTGGTTGACGAAACAGGATGGAACACGAGGTAAATACAAAATATAAAAATATCACCAGAGATATGATTATGCTATACTTAAATAGTTGCGAATCATGTAAAAGAAAAGGAAACACAACCAAAAAAGGATTGGTGATGCAATCAATTATATCTACTGAGAAGAATTAATTAATAATATAAATACATGTCATTATTCATTGATTTATCATATTTCATTAAATCATATCATCTGTTATCAATATTGCCCAAATATATGTATACTTTGCCCATAATATATATGTTACGGTGAATGATGTAAACGTGGTAAAAGACGTCATTCCCCGGTAAATGACATCATTTACCTAAAAATTGGTAAACGTTGTAAATGCAGACATTCTCCGGTTATTGTCGTCAATCACCAGTTTAATTTGAGAATGATTTTTAATACTTTTATAAACGAAAATCCCAACTAGCAATAACGTCGATAACCCGAGTAATAATGTGAGATAATCTTTTAGTTTATTAGTTAGTATCGACGGGTATATTATAGCGAGTTGTATTTGCTACGAATGTGTGTTTTATAATATTATTTGTAAAAATGTGTGACAGAAATGACAGAATATGGGGTGTTGAAATACAAATATATACGAGCACAAATTTCTCCATGTAAAGTAAAATTTCTAGAGCTAGATGAAGCCACGGAAAAAATTAAAGACAGGGAAATAACATTAAGAGAAGCAGCAGGACATGGAATAGCTGGTCATCAAGGATTTAATCGATGCAACTGCAAAACTGGTTGTGGTACTAAAAAATTTTTTGTACATTTAGTGTTACGTTTTAATCAGCAAAATATTTTTTTATATATTCAAAAGCTTCGACATATGATTTTTGTCTTTTATTTAGCAATAATATAAATAAAAATAGTATATATAATTCACTTTTAATAGTATATATTGTGAATATTTAGTAAAAAAAATGTTGGAGTATACTTAAATGTGCTATCAATAAACAAAATTTCTGATTTCGAACTCTAAATTCAAAAAACAGGAAAATTCAATAATATTAAGTTGATGATTGTTAATATGCATCAAATTTTCCCCTTGGCTTGATATTATTTGTAGATTTCCAATTATTTCTTGTACATTGATAATGGATTTTGATTGTTTTGGTAAAGTATGAGCTCGAGCTTGGTAAATTTTCTCACGAATACAAAAAACTACATAAGAGGTTAATGTTTGCACGTCTTTATTACGTAGTTTATTATGAATTAATTTTCATTGCTTCTTACTGATATTATCTATAGATTTTTTTTTATGAAATATTACTCATTGTTTGTCTATATAGAACAGGTGTTTTAAGATTTTCGTGGTTATGATTAACTTTGCGTTCAATTATTTCAGTAACATTGTAAATTGTTATAAAAAATATACATGACGTTTTAGTACATTTCCATCTCTGTGAATTGGACTTTAATAATTTGAAAAATAAAATGTATAACTATCAATTACCAAAAAAAATTTGTTTTCCTCCTAGAAGACTCCAGCGACAATGGCCAAGGGATTTAATCTAATATAAAATAATACCACTAAATCCAAATCCCTCACCGAAGTGTCCTCACTGGATGGTTCTTCATCAAAACACTATGTTAAAAATGTATATAAAGAAAACTCACTTATACTTATTGTATCACATATTATGTACAGATTATTAAATATAAAAAAAAAAATTTAAAAAAATTAAATTATTTTCAGTATTTTATACGATTATGTACTCAAGATGTCGACAAAAAATTGAGTTTTCTTTCTTCTTCTTTTTCTGACTTTCATAACTCTCCAAGAGTTTTTGCCGCCATCACCTAATCACTCCATTTATTACGATCTTGCACAATCTCCCTCCAATCTTATACTCCAAGGTCTTCCAAGTTCTTTTCTACAACATCCATCCATCTCTTCCGAGGACGACCCCGTGGCCTTTTCCCTTCTGGTTTCCAATTTAGTACTATTCTAGTTACTGCTTCAATATTCCGTCTCATGACATGTTCTAGCCACTATATCCTTTGACTCTAAATGAACCCATTAATTGATACTATTTGTAATTGAGTTTTCTTTATTACAATCAATTGTTTCAATATATATATATATATATATATATATATATATACACACAATTCAAATAATACGAGCATACTGATCAGCATATATAATCCTAACCACCGTACCGATTAATATGAATTGTTGAGGTAATATACCTATTATTTTGGAAAGGATCATTAAAAAAGGATTTGACGAAAATTATATTTTAATGTTACAGTTTCTGGCCGTGAGCTAGATGTAAATATATTTTTATTTTTTGATTACCTACCTAGATAAATTTTTATTTTGTTTAAAACTACTCGTATGTTGATATTAATAATTACCAATTGAGCTGTATATCAATAATTATAAAAATCTCTAAAGTATACAATTGTTTTAGAATGTATTTTTAGTTAAAAAAATAAGAATGACGGCTCTTATATAAAATATTAAAACAACCCGGAGAGATGACGAGTAATACAGCTAGCATTATATAAAATAAATTCTCGTACAACTTTTAAATTTTCACCCTCACTTTTATCTTGTAAATATTTATTCGCTATTAAATTGTATGTATTTTTCAAATTGATAATTTTCGTACTATCGGTGATAACATTAACGAATTTCTGGTCTATAACGCAGAACGATAATAGAAACTGGTATTTACGTGGTACAAACAGAACCCATCTAAGCAAAAATGTGTTATTATCAAATTACTTTTTAAAACCGTTGTCATCGGAAGATAATTTCTCTTTTGTCTTGAAGTTACGAAGACGTAGCCTGATTGACTTAATATGCTCTCCTTGACGAAAGGTCGCAGATGATAGGATCACACATGATTTTTACTCAGAATCTTATCTGTGTCCGTAAGTTTGTGTTGCAAGCGACCGACCTGACAACAAGTTTTTGTTAAGTTGTAAGTTGTCAATCATCGAAAAACCCGTACTAGAAGCCATAGAGAGAAGTACTTATCCGCAAGTACTAACCATAATATATATTATAAATTTTGATCACAAAATCCTATTTGTTTTCACTTTTTTTATGAATAGATTATCAACATATTATATTTTGTAAGCTTCGTCGTATAGATCGTTCTAAGGTAATAGATGAGCATAGCTTCTTACCTAGATCCATATTTCAATTCTGTATGGTTGGTAAACTAAAACTTTCGTGTAATTTTCAGATAGATTTTAACTTAAGCACTATACGCTAGAACATAAACTAGTAAGTTGGTCCTAGCAATATTTCAGTCTATGTTCACAAGCAATATATTATTATATTTATGGTTTATAACTTCTTTATATTCAACGCCACACGCAAAATCAACAAAGTTCTATCTTACATATTCGAACGGTTATCACACGCTCGACACTGTGCATTGTATACAACGTTTATTTTTATTATTATTACTATAAATTCAGCGGCTCAAGACTTGATAAGACGAAAACATCAACAACTTGAAAAACATACCAACCAACCATTATAACTGAAATTTGTTTTTCCCCTTTTAGTTTTCAGTGTTTTATGAAAATACCCATCTTTAATGACAAGCTTTAAACATTTTAATACTCTTTTTTATGTTAATTTCAACTTTTTTTCGTGGTTTTTCATTCACAATTACGTGATCTGAAGAACCTTTATTTTAATTTCGCTAACATTCAGCTCTTGGTACTAATATTATATCGTCATGTCGTTATGCCCTAATTATTCATCTCGTTTGATTATTTTACTCAAATATATATAATTTTAAATATATAATTGTCTTTAAAAAAAAAAAAAATCTCAAAAATGTAATACGGATAAACCATAACAGTATATTAAAAAATTGAGTGTTTAAGTTTAACGTCAAAAAAATCAATCTGTATAAATTAAAATTATATTTGTGAACCATTCTACTGTGTTATTATATAGAAAAAATAAGTCTTAAACACGTAATATTCCGCTTTCAACGATAATATGGAATCGTATGATCCCATTCATTCAAGAGTTAAAAAATTTATAAAAATAAATCATTACCAAAATTATGATTATAATACGGATTCACCACTCGCAGTTATAATAAATATTTCTAATTATTTGTTTTTCGAGTATAATATGGTGTGAATGCAGATAAACTGATGCTTGTGTGACGAACTACAGTTAATATGGATTTATTTTAAAATCACCATGCGAGAAAAACATTTTAGTTTTATTCCGGCTCGTATCATGGCGTACAATATGTTCATGTGTACCTGAACAATTCTTATGATATTCAACGAACACAATCGACTTGATCAACTAACCGTTGACCGACCATGTGCCCCGCAAAAGGTAACGACGTTCCAAGTACCGTTGACGAGCACCGGGTTGCAAGCACCATCGACGTTCTATGTCTGTTCTAATTACGGTCGTAATTTTTATTTCATGTTTACCGTTTAGTTGTGAAGTGCTCCCCGAGTACGAGTTAAATAAAGCACTTTCTAATTGTTGAAACGTATTATAAGGATGCGATGGGGAGTGTATATTGGTAAGTGTTTTTTAAAATCTGGATCGTGAAAATATGAACATTTTTATTTTAAACGATTAACGATTTTAATATATTATACAATAAATTAATGATTTTAATACAAAATAACAATAAATATTATGATATAAATAATAATAATGTGCCACGGGACGGAAATAAAAGCTTATGGAACATTAGTATAAATTTACTGCACGCGGACCCGAATCTTGTGCTGATTCTTCGGTTGCCTAAGTCGAAAGCTGACCAAAACACTCGTAGCAGTTCATGGAGAAACTTTTAACGGTAACTTCAAGACAATTGAAATCAGCCGATCTTTGCAGTTCACATCAAATATATATATATATATATAAATGTACGTACTACGATATAAACCTTAATTAAAGTTCTGTCGACCCGTGTAATAATAATATCTAAAGTCACTTGATATTACTATACTTCAATGGTTCTCAACCTTTTTTCAACATAAACACTCTAATTTAGACTTAGAAAAATGTAAAATGTTTTTTTTTTTTTTATTACTTTTCGTATATTAATCGCGATTAGGAAGAAAACTATTTGGGCATTTGTACAATTACCCTTTTTTAAGCACTAACTAGAAAACATTTTCTATCAGTCTTTTCAATAGGATTAATCCGATTTATCTTTCTGATAATCGAGTACAGATATACTCAAAAAATATAACACGTAACGTTTCACTCAGAATCTAAAAGTATGAATTTATAGAAATAAATCAATATGATATTTATGATTAGTGAATTAAGCATAGGTTTTCAAATCGTGACTGGCTAAATTTGACAAACTTACTTGTAATTCGATTACAATACCCGTAAGCGTAGACTTATTTTTGGTTTTTGTAGTTTCTTATGCGAAAAAAGTTGATTCTTACAGATGTACACGACAAGTATGAAAAAAGGTTGTTTACATTAATGCGGCTCGGGTTTTTTGTGATTTTTTTATAAAAATGGTTCTCTCTTACGCGGTACACCAGTTGAAAATCACAGGTTAATACAATACACCCCCCTATAGGTACAGCATATATAGTAAACCTCTCAATAGTGGACCCTCTATTTAACGGAATCCTCCTTATAATGGAAAATGTCAATAGTCCCGGTGAAATAATATATGAATTGATCTCTCTAAGACGGAACCTCTACAAAACGGAAACAGACAATTTTTGTGATCCAATTAGTAAAAATACTCTCTGTTAAACGGAAAAAAAAATTATATAAAGATAAATAACAACTATGTTGGTAGTACTACATATATATTTGGTAACTATATAATCTAAACTTTGTCGTTATCTGAAATACCATTTGATAGTATCGCTTCACGATTGTCATATTGATTTGTTTATTACATACCTTCTAATGAGTGTATATATGTTTAGAATAGCAAAGATTAGATAACCTACGTACATACATATAACTATAATTTTGTAAATATGAACTACACAACTGTTTTTTTTTTTTTTGTCGAATAGTTTATATTGTTTAGTAAATGTGCAGTGCTCACCGTCTGTCATTGTGATTTTGTTTGTTTTAATTTTTACTTGCTTATTTATCACGTACAGTTCTAACTTTTTCCGATAAAGTTAAACTATTCGATTTGAAGGAAATACATAAATTAAGTTCGAAGGAATTTTTTTACTTGATTTAAATGTTTTAAAACTCAAGTCTACGATGCGATAAAAAATAAAGAAAAGATTATGAATGAATGGGTAAATAGAAAAACACGGAAAAGAGTAAAATAGTGAAAACTCATTCATTTGAAGAGATTGACCAAAAGTTATATTTAGTCAAAAAATTTACTCACTTCCGGTACAATTTTACAAACAAAAGCTATGAAATTGGCAGAAAAAATGAATATTAAAGATTTACAGACTTCGAATGGTTGAATAGAAAAATATAAAAAAAAAGGCATGATATTGTTTGGAAACAAATCAGTGATGAAGCAAATTACGTTAATCAAGAAATTGTAGAGGAGTGGAAACGAAAAATCTCGAGTCTTATCGCTGGATATGATGCAAAAGACGTGTACGATGCTGACGAAATGGGCCTTTTTTTTAGAGGTATTCTTACCATGTTACTAGTCCTTAAGAGTGAGCCATGTACTAGAGGAAAAAAATGAAAGGATCGCTTAACAGAGTTCATCTGTGATGGTATGGCCGGAAAAATTAGGAAGCAACTGATATTTGGAAAGTCTAAAAAACCTCGGTGTTTTAAGAGTATGGACATTTCTTCATTATCTGTCATATGGAAATTTAATGAAAAATCCTGGATGACCACAAATATAACTAAATTGCTCCATTAGAATCAGTGGTTGCGTTATTTTAACGCAGATCTCAGAATAGAAATGTCTTGATATTCTTAGATAATGCTACATGTCACCCAAAAATCGAACTATCTAATATGAAAATACTTATGCTGTTCCCAAATATTACATCAACGACCCATCCATTGGAGCAAGGAAAAATTAACACGTTCAAGTCTTACTATTATAAGTTTTTGCTATAATCATTATGCAAAATGGATAATTGTTCTTCAGCCCAATAGTTCGCTAAATCAATAAGTATGTAGTCAACTGAATAGCGTTGGTTTGCAATAATATAAAATTTGAATGTATGCAAAATTGTTTTCGTGAAACCGGGTTTCATTCAAACATAGGAAGCAATATAGATTTACCAGAAAATGCTTTGAAAAAAATTAACAAAGTGTGTGTAACATTCAATGTTGATATAGAAGATTTCATTACATTCGACAGTAAATTAGAAACACATCAAACTTACGATTCGGCATCTTTTTAAGAAGAAGCGGAAAAAGAAGAAGAAAACGATGATGATTTTGATGATGACATTAAGACCAACGATAAGCCAAAAATAAAATATTTTAAAATCGCAATCTCATATTTAGAAGAGTTACTAAAGTTTTTACCCACGATTTCAAATTCAAATCTATTAAAATTTATAATCAAAGCCCGATAATGTGCTGAACGTGCTTTTAATCACAAAAAGCAATCAATTTAAAAAAAAATTATTTTTCCAAATTATAAAAAAGTTACAAATTTGTTACTCTTTAAAATGTTTATTTTTTTTTTTTTATTTCTTTGGTATTATACACAAACACATTTAAATATTAAGTCATACATTATAATCTTACCGTATAAATTTACTTACACCATAATTTTTTAATACATACATACGTACAGTCTTGAAACTTTATTTTTTTTCTACCTCTCTATGACAAAAATCTCTTTACACCTGAAAAATGCTTGGCCCCAAAACGATAGAAATATTTAACTATAGTAGGCAATGCCAAGTAACGATAACATAAATCGAGTTGTATAATATACACGTGCTTGAAACCCACGTAAACTGCATTGCTATAGTGTATTATGTAAAATGGGGTGAATGGTATTAAAAAAAAAAAATCTTAAATTAATAAATGGTTATTAAATTTCAGACAGAACTGGTAAGTAGTGAGCAATGATATTTTTTTCGTTTTTCGTCATAAGCGAATGAACTCGTTCGTGGGTGTTATAAACGAATACATTTTGTGAATAAAAGGAACCCATGTGCGTATACGATTGAAAAATGATAAAATTACATTTCAATTTTTCGTGTTGTACAATTATTATTCTATGACTTATGTTAAACAATTTAACATGCAACGAGTGCAAGTGGACCCCTAAAAACAGTTGTTACGGTTTCCACTAAACTCGTTTTACATCTATAAATTTCAATCAAATTATTATATTTCGTAAAATGTTTATGATGTATAAATATCAATCAAATTAGTATATTTTATACAATTTTTATGAAAAAAGTAGATTATTAAACTAAATGAGTTTTGAAAACCTAGCTTGACGAATACCAAGAAAGAGAAAAGGGTGAAAATATTTAATACAGTTGTAATAAAGTACAACATAAGAAAATAATATTTTTTTATCAACAACATTTTATAAATTAATAAAAAAGGTATTATTTTGTAATAAAATAATTTATCAGGGTTTATGTGTTCTTATTCACGTGTATGTGTGTGTGTGTGTGTGTGTTACATCAGTTCAGAACAGCAAATTAATAAAATATTATTACTATAAAGTGTCTTTTAAAATAATGGAAATAATCGCTTTTGATTGTGTCACTGACCATTTTTTACATAATATTATTAAATGCATTTAGTATTACTAACAAAATTCAATATTCGTTGCACGTAAAATATAGTTAAAGCATAAAAATCCCTTAAAGCTATATAATAAATTGATTCGTTTTTGAACAGAGAAGTCTAAAAAAAACTGTATGGTAAATTTATTCTCCTGTACACTGTTATTGCAAAAAAGTCAAATCAATCGTCTGTCGTTAGATTCTTTTCATATTTTAATTTATTTCCTAAACTAAATACTAATTCAATTTTCGTATTTTCAATACATTGACCAGAGAACGAATTAATAAATTGTATTCTACTTGAGAATTTTAAAATATTTACATAAATACGATCAACAAGTAAACATTACCAAATTAAATTATCATGATGAAATAAATAAAATATGTTCATATACTTAGGTACACAAATTCAGTTTTTCAATGTCTTTTTTTTTTTTTTTTTTTTAATAAAAAGGAATATAACATTAGTAAATTTTAGGTTTTTTTATTTTTATATTATTAAATTCATATCCAGTATTTAATGTAAAAATATATTGGTGTGAAAATATATAAAGAAAAAAAATGAATAATCTACAATACTTTAATGTATATACTATCTGAAGATTGGAAAAATATCATCTGAATGTTATCGACTAAAATGGGTGCGACTCGTTTGCGCACATTTACCTTTTTTACGACACGATTGCGCACAAAATCACAACTCGTTTGCGCACACATATTTTAGGTTTAAATAATAAAGGTATAACTCGTTTGAGCATATTTCCTTTCTTTTGCTTAATTTTAATTAATTAATAGACTCTATAAAATAATAATATATATGCATATTGTTATATAAAAAAAAAATAAAAAAAAATATAAATTAAGATTTAACTATTTTGCATTTTTAAGTATTTATTATATAATTTAACATCGAGCGACCAGATATCGGCGAGAATAAGATATATATATACAACAATATAATACAGATAAAAGTAATAATAACGTCAATGATTATACGCGTAAACAATATTGTCAATTATTAATTTAATATTACAAAAATTAAAATATTTTAAAAAACATGCATTAAATAACAATAGTAGTCTATTATAAAATTGTACTAATTTAGAATGGTGGCATTTAAGTCCAATTTTTTTTATATAAGTTAAACGATTAATAATATTATTTTTATATTCATTCCAAATGTTTTCCAATTGTATCTCCTTATTAATTATCTCTTTTCTTTTGAAATTTGTGATTTTATTGTTTATCGAATTAATTTTTAAATCAGTGTCACTTTGAATTTCAATAATGACGTCGATTACTTGATGTATGTGCAGATGAGCAGTGTAAAACTGACTGTTAAATTGTTTGTAATAACTCTCTGCACCATTAGTAGTCTTAGGATTATTAGTAGGTTTACAAGCCCATAATGTTGGAGGAAAATTGCTGTCCGATGCAATGTAATTTTCTAAAATATAATCGAAAAATATAGAAATATTTTTAGACGTAGTACTTGGTGCTATCGACATAAGATCACAAAATCCATCAGAAACTTCGTCAGGAGGTAAATAACTTATTCCAAAAAAACATTTCATCCATTTGCCAACTTCTGAGTCGTTGTTTAAGTACTCGCTCGATAATAATTTATGTTGTTGAATATGTCTAAACCAATTTTGCCCTAAATGAAAGTTACAACACGTAATTTTGCAGTAAGGGAAAATTTGCAATACTGCATTATGCACAGACTTTTCAAAGTTGACATGAAAATTGCTTAAATTTATTATATTACCAGTAATTTGAATACATATATTTTGTAATGTTTTCCACATATTGATGTAAGTATCAAGTATGTTTGTTACTTAAAAAACAAAACGCCACAAGAACATAAAAATTGTTTTTAAATACGTGAACAGTATAAAGTTGAACAAAATATTTCGGAGCAAATGAAAATGTCCCATCCCCTAAAACGTATTCTGCACTTTGTAGCAATCCTAAATTTTGTTTACATGTAAATATAAATATATTTTCATCATCATTAACGAAAGAAAATGTATTACCTTTGTAAGTAAGATTATGCTGATCATCAACTAATTGTTTTTTAGCATCTTCTAAAGATCTCGGTATGTTTGGAAAGGATTTTTTTCGTTTTTCATACATGGATCTTCGAATTAATTTCATATCGCTATATTGAAGATGTTCGGAGTTATCATTGTTTTTCAATTTCCGGCGTATTAGTTTATTTGGTGTAATATGTAAATCCTCTTCAGCTCTACGTTTCAATTTGCTTCTTACTACTTCTCGATGAATTGTTCGGTCGTCGTACTCGTCATGGGTATGCGTGTTTGTCATTTTTAAAATTGTATATGATTCATTAACTAACCTGACTACAGCACTTACGGAACATTTTTTATTTGTACACCTAAAATGTTTATCGCCAAATTTTAAAGTTCGGAATTCTCTAAATTTATAACTTTCTATGTTTAAACATTTTTTTCCTCGACGCGTTTCAAAAACATCACAAATTTCGATATCCATAGTCAATACAGTTAGTAGTTATAGTACAGCTTTCTGGCAAACGACTGTTTAAAAGTATTACGCTTTCCTAATACACGACGATTATTTTAAATCATTATATATTGATATTGATATGCTGGTAATTTGTGCTGATAATTTGTACCGATAATTCAATTACTTTAGGTAAGTCCAAATTTAAAAGTATAAAATACATGTTACTTAGTGATTATGTTGTGCGCAAACGAGTCATCGATATCCAGGTAAAAAATTTAAATTGTGCGCAAACGAGTTGCACCGACTAAAATAAATACTACATAGGTATTTTTAATAAACAATTCTCATTATTTTCATGTCATATTATGCTATTAATACTTTTCTTATTAAAATATGCAGACAATAGTTGTTATTTTAAAAGTATTCATTAAATGTGCATACTTCATTATTTTCTAACAGTGAAATAATAATATACTGGACAGCGTTAGTTTACTTATGTATAACATTGTATAGTTCAACAATGAACGATTGGAAATTATTAATGAACATTTGTGATCAATGACGAATGGCATCATGAAGACTTATGAATACCTATTATTTTATTTATTGATAAACGTTTTTGGTGCAGGAAATTGTTGTTTGTCTGGAATATATTTGGTATACACTCTTAAAACAAACAATGGCCATTGTAATTTGTTTATGCAGTCCTTTCAATCCCATAAAGCTGTCTATCCATTTCCGGGGGTTCGTGACCACTTTCACACGCAAAAGGAAGATCGGGCGTTGATTTAGGTTTTTCTAAAATAAGTGAGACTATCTAATAACATTGTGATTACAGCGTGTATTAGTCTCTACACAGTTCAGTTTACACAAATTGTATTTGAAATGTTTTCTTTGCGCACAACAAAAATATTTCGTCGGTGAAACTAGGATCATATATTTTACCGCGATCGTTGATGAAGGGATACATTTTCATTATTGTTATTATTAATATTATTATTATTATTATTATTATATTTTTTTAATTTGTTATTAATAACGTTATTTCATTGATATTGCCATTGATGGCTTGAGATTTGGTCGATTATTATTAATATATCTTTATATTCTACTGTCATTAGTCGATATGAATAATGATAGTGTTTGATCTGCTAATAGGTCGGTTTATTCATTTTAGTATGGGAAGGGACCCACATAAACTTTACGGTATTTTTTGAGTTGGACGTAATTTTGAGGTTGAGGATGGGGTTTAATTATATCGTATACCTTCACCAATATTAAATCACCATGAAATACGAGGTCTGTTCAAAAAGTTCCCGAATTTTTCAATTTTTTATTTATGGTGCTTACTTACAAGCTATTGAGACTTATCACCCTCGAAGTATTCTCCCTCTTGGTTAATACACTTTTGCCAACGACGTTTCCATTGTTGAAAGCAATCCTGGAAAGCGGTTTCTGGAATTGCTCGTAACTCCGTTAGCGAATTTTCTTTTATTTCGTCTATCGTAGAAAATCTTTGTCCTTTTAACGGATATTTTAATTTTGGAAATAAAAAAAAGTCTGCTGGTGCCAAATCGGGAGAATATGGTGGATGAGGAAGTACGGTCATGTGATTTTTCACGCAAAAATCACGAATTAACAGGGAAGTGTGCGCCGGAGCATTGTCGTGATGAAGAAACCATGAGTTTTTTTTCCACACTTCAGGCCTTTTCCTCCGCACTTTTTCTCGAAGACGTTTTAATACTTCTAGATAGTACCATCGGTTAACAGTTTGTCCTGCAGGTAGAAATTCGTGATGAATAACTCCCAGATTGTCGAAAAAAACTGTTAGCATGACTTTGACGTTTGATCTGACCTGACGAGCTTTTTTTGGTCTTGGAGAAAATTTACCAACCCACTGTGATGATTGGACTTTTGTCTCAACATCATAGCCATAGACCCATGTCTCATCACCCGTTATAATTTGCTTCATGAACATGTCATCATCGTTAGCGCGATCTAACAATTCTTGACAGATTGTTACGCGGTTGTCTTTTTAATCTTGCGACATCAACCGAGAGACAAATTTTGCTGCAACGCGGTGCATTCCAAGTTTTTCGACCAGGATTTCATGACATGAACCAACCGATATGTTACAATCTTCCGCGATTTCTCGAATAGTTAAACGTCTATTAGACCGCACAATTTCATTGACTTTTGTCACATGAGCATCGTCTGTCGATGTCGACGGACGTCCTGAACGTGGGTCGTCATCAACTGATTCCCGACCGTCTTTAAAGCATTTAAACCAGTCGTAACACTGTGTACGTCCTAAACACTGATCACCATAAGCATTTTGCAATATTTTGTGAGTCTCAGTAAAAGATTTACAAAGTTTAACACAAAATTTAATATTAATACGTTGTTCGTGAAAATTACTCATCTTAAAAATCGCACAATACACACGACTCGTCTACTTTGAACGCGCACAGTTAATGATTCGATAGCAATAAACATTTGAGATTTAATGGAAAAGATAGCTGCTTATCTGTATTTTATTTTGATATAATAACATTTACAATAATGTAATTTTTCTATTTTTAGAAACGATAGTTCGGGAACTTTTTGAACAGACCTCGTATATCAATATTTATACCGCGAACAGATTGACTTGATATGAGAAGCTTCACATAAAATATTTTCAATACTGAGTGTAGCGGTAAAACTTTATGGCATAGTTATACCATTCGTATTCAGGTAATGGTATAAGAGAATAAAGTGATAAAGTATTGCGTTACGTCAAAATATGGTATAATGGTCATTCGAAAAGAAACTTAATAGCCGTGTTTTTTTAAATTTATTTTTAAGTTTCTTATTTAACAATGAATAATGAACAACTATAAACTTAACACAAGAAGCAATAAAGAATAAGAATTTTTTTTTTTTGAACATGGAAATTGACATGATGTAGAAGGGCTCTCAATGGAACTACCAATTTGAATACTAGAAAGAAATAATTTTGATAAAAAAGGTCTCTAAATCACTTTAAGTTTGAGTCTTCTAATGAAATTTTCAGAGATTTGGAGCAAACCAAAGAGTGAAGCAAGTATGTTGGGGTTAGTATGAGAGCTAACTTTTTGGTGAATTTTACGGTATGCAGTTTCTGTGACTTGTTTTACATATTTTATTTTCAGGTCTGAATGGAGGATTTCGTTATTTACATACCAGGGAGATTTTGTTTTAGTGCGTAAGCAGATTAATTGGAAAGATATGATTTTTTTCATGTTACTTGGAACGGCATTAACCCAAATTTGTATATAAAATGAAAAACATCTACAAACTAAATATTTATCGTATTAAGTTTAGAAATTGATAAACCAACTTAAAATAATAAAAAAAATTTTATAAATAAAAAAAAAATAAGAAAAAAGATGGTTGGATATGATTGACAATTATATTAGGATTGTTGGTGTATGTAGAAAATCGAGATGAGTGAAGGCTTAGGACAAGGGTGGCTGACCCCAAATAGTTGGGAAAAAGGCAAAGAAGAAGAAGAAAATAATAAAATAAATATTTTAACCTGAAAAAATTCAAAACCTTTTTTTTTGATATGGGGTTTTATTGAAATTCTATAGACTATTATTTTATTTCTGTGATGCTCGTATAAAGCGTAGTTAAGAGAAAACGTATAGTTATAGATGTATTTGAGGGAAATGTGGACTTGAGAGAAACCTCTAATCTTTACATACACAAGCACATGCACTCTCGTAACAACTGTAATGCAATAAATTAAGGGTAAAACAATTGTGGTCACTTATTATGACCATGGTATTACGAATAGTGAAAGAGTATTAAAAAGCTCTTTCGATATATCTAGAAAAATTCTTCAAGACACCTTTATAGTTTGTTATTATGAATATAAGCAGCAAAACGTCTGCGCCGTGATCACACACAGTAGAATAGATGAGGTACATTTGACGTGAACAAATAACAAAAGGAATGGTAGGCAAAATCAAATAAAAACGAGGGTATGTCCCCTGAAGACCAACCGCGTCGTATGATATAGGTATATGTAGTGCGTGTGAAATGTTTTTAGACACGATGACATGAATTTTTTCTTTCCGCCGCAGAATTCGTATCCCTCAGGATCGGTATATAGTTCCGAACGATGCTCCGGACTTTGCCATAAAAATACTCTATTTTCCTCGTCCGCACATCCGCGCGTCAACCACCATGACTACCGATCTGACAGCGCTCTAACGGGAGGCCCACGTGACTTTGTTAAAACAGCGGATGGGGGTAGAATTATCTTTTTTTTTTTTCACTCCAAAGGTCCGCCTGGTAAAATGAACGAGTCACTAACTATGGAGGGAGACAAATAAAACAAAAAAACGTACGTCCAATATTCTGTTTCGACGGAGTTGTTGCGAACATACATAGATGTGGGTCCTTACGACTCTTACAACATGGGCAGGACCACGTAAATCATAAATAATAGAATTCGGTAAATGATTATAATTATTATAATATTCGCATTCGCATGAATAGAAAGGAATTTTAATTAAAATCAGAAGGTAAACAAATACATATTATATGTGAATTGTATGGTTACATTTCAAATGTAATTAGAAAGAATCACGACAAATATGGAAGATGTGCGAATAGCAATATTAACGAAGTCACTAAAGCGATAAATCTTATATTTATAATAATCAAAAACGACTTTCGCACAGCGCAGCAAGATTGATTCCTACGAGACCTAAATATATAAGGGGGTTGGGAATAGACCAATATTTAGATGTGATTTATACGAGTAGTCGCAAGCACCTCCACGCCAGATCATCTTTTAAATTAATCATTTGTACTTAGAAAAATTTTAAAATAAACAGTTTAAATATATTGAGTATTTTTATTTGGAATATTTTCCTAAATCTTCAACATCTTTACGATTGAACGACAGCACGCAACAGAGTTGTTTATGATTGTACAACAGCGGAGAATCGGCGAGAAATGGGTAAAGAAGTTGGAAATACTACACGCAAACCGTGAGGGTAAAATAATAATATGATATAATGAAAGCATGTCTCGCACAATTTTCAGTATAATTTTTATCATTGTTCGATGTTATTATAAACCACCAACAGATTGCTGCTAACAGTAGTGCGTAATCGCCGTTGTAATTAATAACGCCGCAGCGAGTTCGTTAAAAGATGAAAACAAAAAAAGAATAAACATATTTTAATACTATTATCATGTCAGGTCCTTCCGTTTTCGTAAGCACTCCCAACAAAAACTGATTGTGAAATTCTGATAAAGACAAATTTTGATGCATCACCACCGCGTCGTTGTAGATCATCGCAATTATAATATTCACCATCTACGTCGGGTAATTAAACAACCGTAAACGCGGATATTTTTCGGATCGGAAAGTTCAAAGAAAGTCATAATAAACTTTTGTAAATTCAAAAATTTTCGAAAAATAATATTACCAAAAGCGTCTCTTCAATAATAAATAAATAAAAATAAAAAGGAAGTCGAAAACTAAGTTAAACTGAGTCATCCATACGAGGACTGTTTCATCTGGAACTTTTTCGATTTTCCGATATACCAATTCACCTCCTAACGACCATAATTATTCACGTGGTAATTTATTATCATATTTTGGCATCGTTCATATTCGTCAGAAATTGTTGTTTTTCGATGACGATTCGATATCCTCGTGCACACGACCACCTTGATGACAAATGATCGGTTGATTTTGATTGTGTGTGTGTGTGTGTGTGTTCAAGTAGCGAACAGAATGACACGATATTGTTAAACGTTTTGATTATGCATTTCGTACTCAACAATAGCGTAGCGTAATGTTGCAGTTATCTGTCTATGATAAAATAATAGAGCGCGTCCGTTGACTCTGAATCGAATTTCCAAACCACAACACAAATGTGTAAATACGATCTTGGCATTCAAATTACGGAGAGACCGGACAAATTTTGTTCAGTAGAAGTGTAGTATGTTTCATAATGTTGTATTATTATAGTACAATTATCACCGTGCACGTAGTCACATAGCAGCATGTGACGTATGCTAAGAAGGATCTCGTCAGTTTTTCACCCGACCAGCGTTATGTCTCGCCAGACAGACATATAATCAATCGTTAATAAGATAACCCGAATATTGGTGGTAGATACGGGTAAGAGGTAAGGGAGAGAAGTGGGTTCTGGAACGAAAATCGATTGAATAAATCGCCATCCCCCAGAGGGTAACCAGGATCGGATGCAAATTTGTTCGACGATGTGATACTTCGCGCTCGTGCTCGCCTTATCATTGCCATCCCGGGTTTTCAACGATTTTGGTGGTGATGCGTGAACATCGGGTCATCAAGACAAGGATAAATAATGAACAAACCATTTAGCAGATCACTGACCCTGAAATAACGGTCCATTCGGAATGTCGAAGACGATTCGAGTGAGACGGTTGTTTTTTATTACTTTTATACGTACTCAGCGTATAAACAGGGTGATTTTTCAAGCATGTTCACTCTTTCTTTAAGCATGTATTATGCTTTTAAATAACATAGTAAAATCAAAAATCAATAATTGATTACACTGTTCAAAGAAATTATACCAAGTTCTTTGTGAATAGATACATTTAAATATTTTTGAATGTACAGGTCTACATTTTGATCATATTAAATTGAAATTTCCTGAAAAATTAGCTCAATAATTATTTGGGTTGAAATAATGGTATTTCCATTTGAAGAAAACAAATTATAATAATATAGGCAACTCATTTATAGATATAAGAAATTTTTGTATTAGAAAAATAGTATTATTATATATATATATATAATTACATACATAATGATTCATAACTTGAAAAAATACATAAATTAAACATAAAATGAGATGAATTTGCTTAAAATATCACTCAGTATACGTATTCAGCATACATATGTATAATTCAGTGACCTCCTAGGAGTAATGTTAAAATATTTTCTCATAACTGTAATGTAACATGGGGAAAACTGCCTTTTAGGGACACGGAATTCAAAATATTCAAAAACATATTGAATCCTTTTGTAGCACAACAATAAGTCAACGCTCACAAAAACAAATGTATTATACACGTCGAAGTGATTGTTATATCTTAGTCACCCATCCTGAGTAAGATAAACGTCGGTAATGTTCTGTTAGTATTATCGTACAACTGCTGCATGTCATGATGAATTCAAGTTTAAATGTCTGTATATTATTTATTATTTTACATCATAATGCATGTGTTTACGAAACATTCGATGTGCCAATGAAATCAGGTGATAAAAATGTTTATTAAAATATAATCACATCATATATAGATTGGCAAAAAAAAAAGAAAAAAATTCGATAAATTACGCGCAGGTGATATGAATAAAAAATAATAATAAGAATAAGAATTTACATGGTA